GTCAAGGACCTCCCTTACATCAAAGACAGCTATTTTTAGATGGGTCAGTGACCACTGACAGTGTAAGATTGCCTTTCTTTCCATAAGACCTGTCCTCATAAAATCGGTCTCAGTACATCTCTGAGACATGATTCAGTGTGACTACAAATTACAACAACATACATTATATTGTAAGTCGTGCTACCAATAGTTTTACCTGTCACTAAAATGTTGTTTTATGTAAACATATTTTATATAAAGAGATACATATTTAGCAAATCCCTATATCCGACATTGGATAAAGAAAATTATCCCAACTATGCCCTACAATGGTGAAAGAAAGATGGTGAGAGCATGACAAAGCATATTTATGATACATTGATTATTATAGAAAAAATGAGATCACAAAATAGTATGTGCTATGTGAGCCTTTTTATGAAAAATTACCTATATCACTTTCTCTAGAAAAATACCTGGAAGAACACAAAGCAAAGTGCAGGTTGTGATTACCTCTGCAAATTAGGATCAAGGGTAACTCTATTTTCAATATTTTATAGTGAATATTATAAAAACATTTATAACTTTAAATGATAACTATCAGCTAATATTAGAAAAGTGTTTTAATTGTGCTTATTGTAGCTTTTAAAAAATGTAATATAAAGCTATCACATAATGATGGTATAAGTAATACGAAGTCCAATTCAGGTTTAGTTTCTAAATTTTAATAAAATGCAAATTGTTATGCTAAAAAAGTCATCAATTGATAATTTAATTTTCTTATACACCTGAATATAATGAATCTGTTTTTGATTTCTTAATTATTTAATTAATCAGAGGAATTTTTTTTCAGACTATGCAATTGCTGAGGCACTAAAATGTCATGATAAAAAGACTAGTGGAAGGTCTAACAGTATATATGCTATGCATTAGCAAAATCACTGTAGATGAGATTTTGCAAGCTATTATAAAGGTTAGAAATCATTAAGATGAGTAATTATAAGAACCACTAATAGTAAACTAGAATGCAGGTTTCCTGATTGTTTGCCCAGTGTAAATATTCATTAGCTTTTGAAAACTAACAAATGTCTCCTAAGTAACAGTCTGTATTTATAAATCTGTTTTTACCTGCAAATGCTTTAGCTGGTTTCATTACCAGAAAATCTGTATTTTTCCATCATTTCTACTTGAAATGTTCTGAAAATGATTTGACTGGGCCAATTTCATTTTGGAACAAATATAGTTGATCTGTTAGATATATTTGCTTTATAAATTGCTAGGGATCCTTCTGCCTTGTCAATTGAATGCCAAAGAAAATATTTTCCCCTTGAAAGAATATCTCCTAGGAGGGGGGGGAAGTAAACATTATTTTAAAATGAACACTAACATAAGTATGTATACAAATTAATAAAAAAAATAAGGAGGAAGAAAAAGAATATCTCCTGACATGAATCTCCAGTGTATCATAAAAGACAGGGGTTTGATTTATGATCAACTTTGTTTAACTGCACTAACAACCAGCCAAGAATAAAGGAGATAACCTATGCTTAAGGGTTTCGGTATTCTTTAGTCGCTATCTGCACATAAAGCCTAGGAAAAAAGTGTTATTCATAACTTTCCTTATTTTTTCCTTGAGATTTTTAAGAAAAAGTTGAGAAAATAGATGTGTGATTGAGCACAATGAAAAAAAAAAAGGAAAGTTTTGGTTTCAGAGAAACCCTCCAACACAACACGTGATTATATGGAAGCCACCAAGTGCATGCACCAAATGAGGTCCTGGGCTTGTTCTATAGGGTGATCTTTAAGGCCAGTTGGGTCCCAAGCCCATCACCTAACTCTTTATCTAAGACTGCCAGACAGAACAACTGGGAGTAACTAGCTCTACTTGACAATCCTATAAGTTTTTTTTAATCACACCCCTTATTTTACTCCAGATATACGTGGTCAAATCCTTCCCCATTCACTTAGATCCACTATCTCCCTCCCACTCTTGTCATTATAGACAGAGGGACTCATGTCTCACTTCACAGCATCATGGAAAGATAACTGGGATAAAGCACTGTAACATGGAATTACTGAGCAGGCACTCAAAGTTCTCTTCTGATTACTTATCCACTGTCTCCAGTATCCCTTCATTTATTAAATATTAAGTAATTTCAAGTACTTAGTATGCATGAATAGGTACTATGTATGCCTGACATATAATTTCATTTTTCTAGTCTATTAGATTATAATTTGTTTTGGGGTTCATTGATCATTGATTTAAAGGGTGACTGGGTTGTAAAAATTAAAATTAATATCACCTAATTTATCTTCCCTTTTTATATAGGTGGAAATTAAAACCTGGAGAAGACCATATCTAAAGTTCAAACTAAAATCTGATTTCCATTGTCATTATATTTTGTTAAGGAACTCGGTTCTCTTGCCTATTTGTGTATATTTATATACCTGCACAGCATTAGAACTGTTTCCTGATAATTATCAACCTGAAGAGCAACAGAGTGACTGATAGTAAATTGCTAATCTGTGTGCTTAGTGATGGGGAAGCCAAAAACAAATCAGAATCAAAACAGTAAAAACTTAGCTTAAAATATGTTCTGTATTTCTAAATCTCAAGCTCCATTTTCTGAACTTTCCAAGGCCACTGTAACTTTATGGAAGCTTAATGAGTAGCTGGGTGCTATCTTTAACCTCCTACTATTCAAAACCAGCACATGCAGACAGAAAGGCTGGCTGTGTATGGTCAGAAGCAATGGGCTGGTGCTGGAGAATGAGCCCGAGTCATCCTCTGTGGGTTATGGGTTAGATTGTGTCTGTGGTCATGGATACCACTGTCTGTGGTCACAGATCCCTCTCTCTCTGGCAATGGCTCCCTGGTCTGTGGTCACGGATCCCACTGCCAGAGCTTCACATTACTCAGAATAGATGACCTCATTTTCAGACACAGCAACAGAAAGTATGGATGAGTCTCAACTGCCAAGAGATCAGAAATAGCATTCCTGGGCTGTAGACTTTTAAGTCTTGAGAGCTATTTCCTAGAGAACAGAACAAGAGATTCCTAGGCTTCTGGAGCATCACATTTTTTTTTTCTTTTACAAATTTTAGCATGAAGAATTTCAAACATGCAGACCGACTGAAATGATAACACAACATGCACCTATCTATCCACAATTAAATTCAACAGCACTGACATCTTGCATACCACTTTGTCTGTAATATGTTTTTACTGCCTAAGTATTGCACTGAAGAAAACCTAGGAAGAGAAACTTATTTAGATCTGGTGAATCATGAGGTCCCCTCCTGCCACCTCATTCCTGCCAATCTTTGCGGATTCTAGGAAGGGAGCTCCTTCAGCTCGAGGCCTTTTTCTATCTGAGTTCTCGGTCAGTGCTTCACTGTTTAAAGTTTTTTCAGTATAGGTTTCTATTGCTGCCTTTTAGTGTCCCTCATTGAGACTAATGACCTTGTCACTACCAAGTTGTTGACAATGACATTAACCTGTGCCTCAAAATGCCACACAGCACAAGTCACTTCTGAGTAAAAAGGCCGTAGGGCCAGTCTGGAGCCAGAGCTTGATATAGATGGTCCTCTCACTTAATTCACTGCCTAGCGGGGAGTGTATTTCTATGTCTCCTTCTGTCTTTTCAGGATCTGTTACTAATTCTTATTAAAAATTTTGACTTTGCATTTCCTATCCCCTCTCCAGCCCACATGGCCGTTCTCAAATCAAGGTCTTTGTAGGAAGTTTAGCACTCTGTATGTGACACCACAGTTCTCTCCAGTAGCAATTTGAAGCCCACCACTCAAGCTCCTTTCAGACTTGGCCAGTCAGCTTATTTTCTGTGTCCTCTTTCCCCACTTCCTGAGATATATCTATATGCAGGAACTGTGTCTGATTCATCTCTTCACATCTTGTTGTGGCTAAAACCACGTACAAATACATACTCTACCTTATCTAGCCCCTCTCTCCCTTCTCAATAGTCAACTGCCATTTTCTCTACAGATGTGATCAACAAAGAAGCAAGTTTCCCAGGCAATGTATAAGTCTGATTCATGGGATATACCATATGAAAATGAGCTGCAGATAGAACAGGTACAAAAAACATGTGTGTGAGAAGACTCCTAGTATAGAGGTGAAGCACTTGACTCTGAACTTGGAACATAATTTAAATCCCATTTTCACAGTTTAATGTCTGTATGACCTTAGGCCAGTTCCATCAGCCTCCGTTTCTTCCTTTGACAAAAAAGATCACAACAGTGACTAACTTCTGAATTATAATTAACTATACTAATGAGTGGAATACACTTAGCTCAATGTCTGACCCCTAACAAGTGTTCAACCACATATACAGAGTACCCTTTCATTATCATTATTCTCATGACAAGGATAGCCATCTATTTCCATAAGACAGAAAAGACCAGAGGCAATTGAACACTTCAGAATTTAGAGTCTCTTTTCCTTTATCAAGCAGCAGAATTCTTTCTATAATACTGTTTTCCAGTCAGGCAGGCATCTTTTTTCATTATTCCCCCCCCCCCTCCAGGAAACCATCTACTGCTTCTATTATAAAACAAACTTTAGAAAGAAGAAACTCCTCTAATTTTTCAAGTCATCCTCACCCAAGGAGCAGAGCACCCCAACTGTTCCTGACATAATACATTCACTAGTGTAAATTCATTCTTAATAAACATGAGGTGACAACAAATATGTGGCAATCATCTTTTCTTCCATTATAAGGATGCCATTTGTATCAGCTATTTTGATATTGTTCATCCCTGTTCCTTAGGGAAAGCAGCTTTAGGACTGGTCGCTGATATGAGAAGATAATTCAGAAAAAACTCAGACTTAACTGGGGGTAAGTTCCTTTGTCATGCTCACCTAAGCTCTCCACTGCCCACTGGACAGGAGGTTTAAGTGCTTAGCAGCAGAACTGAAGAGGTAGATAGCACATCATTTCCCTCCAGTGATAAACCAATGACTGCTTCATTCAGGAAAGCTTATGTTTTGAAATAAAATTACAGACCTGAGGCCATACAGGACTGTCCCATCCGGATGCAGGCGGATCATGCGGTTCTTGACCGTCACCCCGTGCACGAAAGACTTCTTGTCATTCAGAAAGTAGGTATCTGGCACCCAGAGCTGGTCTGCCACTCGATTGTCCAGAGTCAGGTTTAAAGGTATTACGTTATAGGACAGCCGCTTATCCCTCCATGCTTGCTGAAAGTACATTGTCAAGGTATAATCCTATGAATAGAAGGAAAAGAAGTTGAGTTTGCACCCAAATGAATTTGAGAGCTAGACCAATCCTTCAGTATTCATGATAAAACAAAATATATTCAGTCAAGCACTATAACCACGTATTATAAACATATACAGACAAGAAATAATGACTACTTCATTCTTACTGAACTCCTTCTGTGTGTCAGTCACAGTGACAGGCACTATAAATGTAGAACTGAAGTGGCTATATCCTTGTGAAGAAAGATGGTAGGAGATAATAATTTAATAATTAATTTTATCTCTCAATATGGGGATTTAACACAGGGTTGTTTTAGGTGGGACATCACATTTTTTTATTGAGATAACATTGGTTTATAATAATATATGCTACACATGTATATATAGTTTTCATTGCCCCCCACCCCCACTCCCAGGAAACCATCTACTGCTTCTAATATAAAACAAATTTTAGAAAGGAGAAACTAATCTAATTTTGCAAGTCATCCTCACCCAAGGAGCAGGGTGAAATATCAATGTCTACCTCTATATAGATTTCTCTGAACCATACCCTTTAGGTGTATGTCATCACACCACACCCAAAACCATAGCATCCACCACAGTTCACTGCATCCCCTTTCTGGTATGCTCTTTCTTCTCTTCTTCCCCACTTATAATTTCAATTCTACAGTCGTAGTTGAAATTTGCATTGAGAACAGATAAAGAGTCCAAGCTACTGACTGTGAGATGAATGTCCAGGGCAGAAGGAAATCTGCAAAGACCCTCCCCACTTATAATTTCAATTCTATAGTCAGTAGTTAAAATTTGCATTGAGAACAGATAAAGAGCCCAAGCCACTGACTGTGAGATGAATGTCCAGGGCAGAAGGAGATTTGCAAAGACCCTGAGATCAGAATGAGCCAGGCATGTTCCAAGAACAAAAAGGACACCTGTTTGTTAAACTCCAAGGATTCACAAGGAGAATCAAGACAAGATTAGCCTGTGCATTTCCATTTAGCAAGGAATACACATTTAAAAGCAATAGCTCTAAAGCTTTTAATTCATTACATTGGTAACTTTGAGTCTGCCAATGAATCTTAATAGATCTAATCAAGTGGGGTTTCCCTTGCACTGAAGACTCAATATTGCTTGAAAGTGAGTCCTACGATAATGGTCAAGCAGTCTACACCCCAGCTAACGAGGAATAGTGAGCAGTGGGCTGGGGGCCCCAAGTCAAGCATTCCCCAGCTGTTTCTATGAGTGGAAGGACACAACTTCTTTTCACTTCCCTTCCATTAACTGTAAATGGAGCTCTCAAAACACACCTAAAGGATCCAGAAAATAGTGGGAACTAAATGTATAACTCAAATGCAATTTGTAAGCTACAAAAGCTATGGATTTTGGATAAGACATTTACATATATATTATGATATGTTTTTATCTATTAGAAACCTATAGTTACAATGCAATTGCTCTATCACCCTCATTTGAATGACTAAGTGAAGGCCCACATATTCATCTGAAAAGGCTAATTACAATTCTATTTTAAAATCAGTTCACAATGCTCTACTCGAGGTGTTTTAAAACAACTAGAATCATGGGTTAATCATTTTTGTAACCTGAAACTCTTGCAAGGATGGTCATATGGCAGAGAAAATGAATAAATGTCCAGTAAGATATGTCAGCTGGACTTCTGCACATCCCCATATACTTTTGCAAAGAAGAAGCACATTTTCAATCCCATGAAATCCCTGAATTTTTCCTACCCATGTTGAGATTTATACATCCTAACTGGGTTATGTAATTGTAAAATATGACTAGTAAGATATCATTTGCTAAAAACATTGAAGTTTTCACAGGAAAAGTATTACCCTTTTTTTTGGCAAAAACATTAAATATGTGACCTTGTTTCACATATACATAACCACATACATATGCAGGTATATATGTGCTTATCAGTGTAGTACTGTCCTCTGAATGACAAGTGCAGAATCAAATTCTAGTCTAATAAAAGTAATACTAATATCCTAAAGAACCTCAAATAATTATAGATACCATTTTCTGTAGTGGTTTATCTCCATCAGTGTTCTGAGGTATGCTATAACACTGTGCTTTAGTATAGAATTAGACTGCAGAGTCTCTAGAACAGCACTGATATATAATAAAAGCAACCTTGAAGATTCATGAATTATATAACTAGAAAGCTGAAAAAAGACTAAGTACATTTTTGCATGTGCCTGTGTTACAACAGACTAAAAATACAAATAGACTAAAAAATAGGATGTAAGATAGGCAATTTATATAGTGCTTGAGAGAACATGTTTAGTCATTTCCAATTCTTACAGATATGATGAAAATGTGATTATTCTCCTTACTGGAATATAAAGTCTTCTTAAAGTTCTTTGATAAAAAGCCTTTGTCAGATACAGGGGAGATAATACTGTTTGGAAGGTGCTAGAGTTTATCAGTCAGCTGAGATGGTTTGGACACAGGAAATTGTATTCTCTTTTGGGCTAAATGACTGGTGATATTATGAGAGCATGCATCACATGCTAACTCTTGTTATTTGTCAGCAAGACAGTGCCTACTAAGAAATGTTCTCAGGCAGTGACTCTGCTAACTGTTAAATCAATTTTGATTTTGTTTATTTCTAAATGACACATCTTGACACTGTCAAGAAAGGGCTACGTTCCTGAATCTGAATAAATTCTGTTGGACAATAAAGGAAATGGTTTTAGCCCCCCCCCCCAACCCCAACCCAACACACTTCCACCTAAAGAGGAGGAGTCCTTTGAACTTTCATGTAGAGATCATAGTATTTGCAGTTAACAATCCCACCTTTGGGCCTTTCCTAGTGGTGCAATGGGTTAAAGCACAGCACTATGAAGCTATCTTCAGCCACTACAGCACAAGTTCAATCCCTGGCCAGGGAGGTGACCCACATGGTACAGCAGACCTCTCCTGTCTCACCTACTGCTCCCTCAGCAGTGTATTTCACTGCTCCACCTGTTCTGCTTCCCACTCTGTTTCTGGTGAATCCTGTCATCCCCCAACACACATCTCTGGCCTATACCCCAGTTCTTGTAAGCATAAATAAATAAATCTTAAAAGAAAAAAATCAAGTCAAATAAGATTTAATTAATCCACTAATCTCTCCCATTGATTACAACATACTGAAAAGACTAAAAATCAACCTCTTAAGGACTATGTAATGTAAAATTAAAAACAAAACTAGGCGGATTGGAGAGAGGATCAAAATGTAAAGAAAGATCATTATTTTACATATATACATTCAATCAACAATATATATAAGAACAGCTATGCCATGTTCTTCAATTTGAAAAGTTCAATGTTTAAAATGTCAATTCTAAGTTGATCTACAGATGAAATTTAATCCCAACCAAAATCTGAGAGGACTGAGAGCATATCAATATGCTGACTTTAAAATTTACATGGAAAGCAAAAGAACAAGAGCAAACAAAACAATTTTGAAAGGGAAGTACAAATTTGGAGGCACTCGCACAGATTTCAACATTTATCATTAAGCTATGCTAATACAGTGTGCTTAGTGTGGTACTGATAGAAACATACATCGGTAAAATAAAAGAAAAAATTAACCCACATAAAAATGTCCAATGACTTCTGATAATGGTAGAAAGCTGGTAGATTGGAGAAAGCATAATCTTCTTAACAAATGATTCAACTGCAACACCCCTATGCAAATACATACATGCACATGTGTACACACATACATACATACATGCAAACCTCAACCATACATTACACATACTATAAAATGAGCATAAAATGAGCTATAGCCTTAAATGTAAATTTTAAAACTCTGAAGAACAGAGGAGAAATTCTCTGTAACTTTTAGTTAGTCAAAGACTTCTGAGATACAAACTGCAAGGAAAAGGAATAAAACAAATATTGTTAAATTGAACCTCAAAAAAATTTAAAAATTGTTCCATGAAAGACACTCTGAAGAGAGTGAAAAGACTGATTACACACAATAAAAATTCTTTCAAAATATCTCACAAATCCACAGTGAAATATGAAATAAATTATCAAAATCCAAAAAAAAAGGCACAAGATGTGAACACTTTACCAATGAAATGTGAACAGACATTTAGCCAATACAAATGGCAAATATGTACATGAAATGATACTAGACACTATAATCTATCATGGAAAATGAACTAAAAGCTAAAATTTGATCCTATTAGGTTCCTATTCAAAAAACTTAAAAAAAAAAAGTCTGACAATTCCAAGTGCTGATGAGGATAAAGAGTAATTGAAATTAAAACACTATAGGTGTATCAAACACAGGAAACACATTTGTATAGCTGCTTATAAAGGCAATAAACATTTGAGATATGACATAGCAGCATGCAAATGTTTATAGCAGCTCTATTTTAATTGCCAGAACTGGAAGCCATCTGGATGAATCCTGTTGAACAGATGAAGAGAGAAACTTGAAATGAATAATACTCATCAATTAGAAAGAACAAACTATAGACTTTCAAATACAGAATTAAGTGAGAGAAGCCAGATATGATATGATTCCATTCACATGAAATTCCAGAAAAGGGATTGTTCCCAGGGACTGGTGATGGGGTAGAAGCTGATGATCATGGGTGAGCATCAGGGGATGATTTTGGGTAATTGAATTATTCTGCATTGTCACTGAGGTGATGGACATGTTGGACATGTGACGATAGACATCTGTCAATACAGATCTGCGCATCATAATATTCTCATTTATTTTGTGTATAAACAAACAACTAAATTTAAAAAGTGCTTCAAAGAACATAGGCATAGTCTCTAAGGTCAGAGGTTCTATCTCAGTATGGGGGAGGTTCATATCCCCTCTACTGTGACCCTGGGTGATACCTCTCAATTCTGTACCTGCTTCTGATTCAAAAGAATAATGACAGATAATCAGTTTAAGCAGTGGGGTAAACAAGAGCTGCTTTGAACATCTGAGGGCAAAGCAGCTACAGTGAAGCTTCAGATAAATCTCCA